ACTACATCTAATGTGATGACAATGTTATTAGAAGAAAGTCAACCTCTACAAGACGCTTACAGGGTTTTGGTAACTTTTCCATGTCTTAATTTAGAATGTAATGCTATTTTGGATACAGGTAGTCCTATATCTATGATAATCGAATCCTTAGTGCCTAAAAATTTTGTAACTTTATGTAATAGTTCTGGTAATATTTTAAAGGGGATAAATAATTCTAAATTGAATGTCAAAGGTTTTTTTTATACACAAATTCAGATATATAACAATGTATATGAAATAAAATTTCACGTAGTAGAAAAAGGTACGATGTCTGATAATTGCCTTTTAGGTAGAGATTTCATAACTCATTCTAGTATTCAAAAAGTAGTTTTTGACAACAAGGAAGTACAGATTATATGTAAGAATAGTCACTCTGATTTTGTAACAAATGAGGTCCTTTTGGTTGAGAATATTTTCAATTCATCTGATCCTGTCCTTAATATAAATCCATCTTTAGCTACACCAGTGAAATCTGAAATTAAAAATTATTTACTAATCATTATATAAATTCTCTCGACCTGAAAAACCACAAACAGACTTTAAAATGCAGTTAACTTTAAAGAATCATGAACCATTTTATACGCGACCGAGACGTTTATCTTTTGTTGAGAAAAAATATTAGATGACATATTAAATGATTTGATGCAAAAAAATATTATCCGTGAAAGTAAGTCACCGTACTGTTCTGCAGTTGTACTAACAAAGAAAAAGACTGGTGATTATCGAATGTGTGTTGACTACCGTACATTAAATAAATATTTGATACGTGATCAGTTTCCCATGCCATTAATTGACGACCATTTAGATAACCTAAAAAATAAAAATTATTTTACAAAATTAGATTTAAGAAATGCATTTTACCATGTTTCCTTAGATGAAGATTCTATAAAGTACACGTCATTTATTACTCCATCCGGACAATTTGAATTTTGTAAAATGCCTTTTGGCTTAAGCTCGAGTCCATCTACATTTAGTAGGTTCATAAATGAAATTTTTAAAGATCTTATTAGGGACCAGAAGGTATTAATTTATTTAGATGATATATTAATTGCTACCGCTAGTATTGAAGAAAATTTGGAAATATTAAAAGTAGTGTTTCATCGGTTAACTAAGAACTTGTTGGAGTTACGTCTTGACAAATGTTCATTTTTAATGCAAAAGATTGACTTTTTAGGGTATTGCATTGATGAAAATGGGATAAGTCCAAATTGTGAAAACATTGAATCCATAAAAAATTATCCAGTACCGACTGATATTAAACAAGTACATAGATTTTTAGGACTGACGAGTTATTTTAGAAGGTTTGTTCAAAATTTTTCACTTACAGCCAAGCCACTTTATGATCTACTTAAAAAGAATGCAAAATTTATATTTGGTACTGAACAGGTAGAGGCTTTGAAACTTTAAGAAGTAAACTAATTTCACAACCGATCCTATCAATTTATTCTCCCCGTAATGAAACTGAGTTACATTGCGATGCTAGTGCCTTAGGTTTTGGGGCAATTTTATTACAGAAACAGACAGATGGGAAATTCCATCCTGTATTTTACTTTAGTAAAAGGACCACGGAATGTGAATCCAAATACCACAGTTATGAACTCCGAGACTCTCGCGGCGGTATATGCTTTAAAGAGATTCCATATTTATTTACAGGGATACCTTTTAAAATTGTCACAGATTGTGATAGCTTTCGATTAACCCTAGCTAAACGAGAAATTATTCCTAGAATTATGAGGTGGTGTCTTTTACTACAGAATTATGAATACACAATTGAACACCGATCAAATTTGCGCATGAAACATGTGGACGCACTAAGTAGAGTCCATAACATTTTGATACTTGAAGGTAATACTTTTGAGCAGACGTTAGCTATAAAACAGACTACTGACGAACAGATACTTAAAATTAAAACTATATTAGAAAAATCTGAGCATCCTTTATTTGAATTACGTAATGGTCTGGTTTATCGTAAAACTAAGAACGATATCTTGTTTTATGTACCCAAAGAAATGGAATACAATATATTATATACTTACCATAACGACATGGGTCATGTCGGCGTAGAAAAAACATTAGAGTTGATTTCTCGTACTTATTGGTTTCCCGAAATGAGAAAGAAAATTAAAAATCACATAGATAATTGCCTAAAATGTATAGAGTTCAATCCCAAATCTGGAAGGGTTGAGGGATTTTTACATAATATTCCAAAGGGGAAGTTACCCTTCGAATGTATTCATATTGATCACTATGGGCCTTTGAGTAAAACAAGTCATAGAAATAAATTCATTTTTGAAATAGTAGATGGGTTTTCAAAATTCATTAAGTTTTATGCTTGTAAAACAACTAACGTGCAAGAAGTCATTACATATCTAGAATCTTATTTTCGTGCTTATAGTAAACCAAAAACAATAATATCGGATCGAGGCAGTTGTTTTACTTCCCACTTATTTAAAGAATTTATGACTGAAAATGACATTCATCACATTTTAATAGCTACTGGTGCTCCAAGAGCTAATGGACAAATTGAAAGAATGAACAGATTATTGACTCCTTTATTAGGTAAAATTACTGACGAAAAACAAGTTTTATGGGATAAAGTTTTAAATGATATTGAATTTTGCATTAACAATACAGTAAATCGTTCAACTAAGGAAACTCCTTCAAAATTACTGTTCGGAAGAAATCAAGTAGGGAAAATTAAAGATAACTTACGTTTAATATTAGAAGAAATGAGTGAAAAAGAAATTGAAAGTTTAGAAACTTTAAGGTTTAGAGCTGCTGAAAATATTGAAAGGGTTCAAAACGAAAATAAACAATATTATGACAAAAAACATAAAGAAGCGCACTCTTACAACTTGGGAGATTATGTTATGATAGCTAATGTTGACACAACCCCCGGAGTTAACAAGAAGCTACTACCTAAATATAGAGGACCTTATGTCATTAAGTCTGTTCTTCCTAATGACAGATACGCAGTAACAGATATAATTGGTTTTCAGAACACCCAGATACCTTACGATGGTGTAATTGACGCTTCGAGATTAAAACCTTATAGTGTCAATTTAATATAAAGTAAATTGTTATGTATACTTACCTATTTTGACTTTTACACTTAATTTGGATTTATTTGTCTACTTATACTTACGTGAATATAACCATTTTTTTGAATTATGTATTTTATGAAACTGTTATGTATTTCTTATGTTTCAACTTATGTGTGTAGGAATCCTTAATTATGCCGTTATGTTATAATGTGATTAAAGTATCCTATTGTTATGTCTTTATCTTATGTTTTTTATGCTTAGAATAACTTATGAACTTATGTTTAAGATTAATGTACGTTTTATGAGATCGAGGACGATCTAATTCAGGTTGGCCGAGCTATAGGGGAAATATTTTTAAATTTAAATGTCCCGCCAAATCGGCAGTTGGTAGAACAAATAACCCTAAAGCCAGCTAATTTAGAGAGAGAGAGAGAAGGAATAGGATTATGTCTTTATTATAATTATGAATTGTAATGGTGGAAAAGAGAATACTGTTTTTAGCGAGTTTTATTAAAGTTGTTGTGTTTTCAATACCAGTGATTATTATTTTATGTGCTCCCTAGCCTTCCTACACATTCAAGGCATTAGTTTATTTATTTATTATAATAACTACGTTACAGTACTTAACGATAATAACGATGAGAGTACCATGATGGAACCTGACTCCACCACTGGACCAGAAAGTCCCAACTTCTCTGATGGTAAGAATAAATGTACATTACACTTTTCTAATTAATTTTGTTTTCTTTACTTAGAGGAATCCCTAGACAGCAATGGGCGTCCTTATCCATTTATTGGAGATTTATGATGATAGTGACGAATCAACAGATGGTAAGAATAAATGTTCAACATTGTTTTAAATACTAATTTTTTATTCATTACCTACAGAAGAAGAAATGAATGCTTGGCTAGAAGAATTAGAGGCCGACGTGAGAAGGGCAAGGGCAGAATTGGAGGTGAGAAGGGCAGAGGAGGAGGATTCGTCAACCTCGGATGATGGTAAGAAACATGATTTTTTTTTTTTTTTTATGTTAATTCATTTGTTTGTACAGATATGGAGCGACCATAGTAAATAATTATAGTTTTAATTTTTAAATAGTATTTAAATATAAATAAATATAGTTAAGTTTTAGTTTGTAAATAGTATTATAAGTACATATAAATATAGTTATGTTCTAATTTGTAAATAGTATTATAAGCACATAAATAAATATATATATATATATTATACAAAATGTCTTTTTTATAATTAAACAATAATAATTAATGTAAGTTTACTTACATTAATTATTTATGTTCATGTACAAATGTGTTAAAATAAAATACACATAAAAGTACTTACAAAATCATACCCCTATAACTTAATGAATATCTATAGAAAAATAAAAATATGTGAACAAATAATCATATTCTTTGTATAAAATACATATAAAACATTTTATAATTAAAAATAAATAAGTAATATAGGTCCTGTAAGTACGTACCTATTTATTAAAATAAAAATGCATAGAAAGATACATGCAAAATTTTGTAATTATAACTAAAATAGATATCTATAGAATATAAATTGTGATTAAATAAAGTTATATTCTTTGTATAAAATAAATACTGTAAACAAAGCACATAAAATAAATTCAATTTTTATATAATAATCACAATGCATTCAAATAAATCTATTTAAACATTTTATAATTAAGTAATCAATGTAAATAAATTCATGTACTCGCATATTAGAATAAAATGCATATAGAAAGATACATACAAAAATTATGTACATTACAATTAAAATAAACAACTATAGTAATTAAAATATGCGAACAAAGGTTATCGGAGTATAGTTGACCTTTTCGACCTGCTCGAGATACGTTTTACCTGAAGTATATTATGTTGAAATTTCGGACGACACAAAGATCTTGTGGACAGGCAGATAGCTCAGTGATTGAGCGTCGGGCTTGGGACCGAAATGTACCAGGTTCGAATTCTGGCTGTCTCCAGAAATGGCATGGAGTTGGGTGGCGCCATTCCTGGTTTTTTTTTGCATTTTGACCATTGACCTCGACCCTTTAATATTTTGTATTTCGTATTTTCACTTAAAATTAAAAAAAAAAGTCGAAAAATTTTTTTTTTCATATTTATTTCATGTTTTTGGTGTAGAAAAAAAGTCGTAAAAATTTTAATTCATATTTATTTTATGTTGTGGTACATACTAACCTAACCTAGGTAAACAGATAGGCGCACGCACGTTGGGCGGACGCGCGGGGGGTTGGGAATGGGGGGTAAATCTATTTTAATGACTAACTATATTTTATTACATACTGTAGTTACAGTATGTAATACTGTCACTAAAATTTAATGTTATAAGTAGATACAAATTGTAAAGTCATTGTTTTTTATCTACTCATAACATTAAATTTTAGTGACAATTTTATTACATAAGGTAACTATAGTTTTTATTTATTATTATACATCTGAACTTACAACATAATTTATATATATACTTATATCTAAAATATGTCTTATGCACAATGCATATTTTATTTTATTTAATTTTTTTGGTGCATTACTGTTTTTTTACGCACAATGCATTTTTTTTTGTTTTCATGTTTCTTTGTGCTTTTCTTTTATTGTTTTTTTATTTTTTTATATCTTAACCTAAATAAAATATAATTAACATACAAAACTAACAGATATATAACTAGCCTAACAATTTACATATACTAACTTATAAATAACTCTCCGTTCCGTGTGCAAGTGCCTAATCAAATTTTTAATCTCTCTTCACAGTCGCCAACGCTCTTGTGGACTTGTCCAACTCGATACGATGATGTGCAACCCTGGCTAACAACTCGTTTGCCTGTCGCGTCAATGCAGCGGCCTGACGCAACATTTCGTTAGCCTGGCGTTCCACATCCTCGTCGTTTTGGACAATCCGCAAATTCTCCTCATGTGTTCTCCTAAGTTGACCAAAGTAAACAAGGAAGTTATTATAAGCATTTCTACTGTCAACTTGTGAGAACACCGCCGACTCTGTGTCAGAATCCGTATTCTCAGGATTGAGATTCTGACATAAAATCGGCTCTACCTCAGTTGGCGTTGGCAGCAACACCGCACTATTAGAAGGACCGGCTTCTAATAATGCATTGTTGCCAGAACCCACAGTCGAAGATCTAACAGATGATTTTACCTGCGGCTTTTTTACCCGATGCTGGATGTTTATCTTTTTTTAATGTTTTATTTGAGACCGAGCTCAAAGCTGCAGGTATGATAATCTGTTTTACATTGCCGCCCTTCTGAGAATTATCCACCTTTGGTTTTTTAGATGCGGGTGAAGCCCGACTAGAATTCTCAGGTTTCCAATTCTTAGAAGGACGGCTTGATTTCGACTGTGACTTAGACGACGCCGACGACGACATTGATATATTTTTTTGTGCCAATTGGCACGTTCTTTTTTATATTATTTTTTGGCTCTTTAACAAAATCGTCGTCGGAGTCATCACTAGACGTCACCAATGAGATAAGAGAGAGATGTGAGCGTTTACGAGTATGAAGAGGTCGCGAATCCTGATGCCCTGACTTAGAGGCTGCTGATTTGTTGCCATCTTTTTTTTATTAGGCAACAAACCTTCAGCATCTACCTCAAGGTTTTTAGCAATAGCTTCCACCGCTTCAACGACGGCCGCGACATCGGAATTATTTCCTAGATCACGGTCTTCGATATGAAGAACTGGAAACTCTACCACATCAGGATTGTCTAAAAGCGGCATGTGTAGGTAGGCGCCATGTTCTTTTTGTGGTGTGCCTTCGCGTACCTGCGAAGTGCCTCCAGCAGTTGCAGCATTTTCCATATTTAAAGATATACCCTCTAGGATATTTATTCCAGAGGATGGCATTGTTGCTGTAGAATTTGATGCACCGGCATTTAAACAGATGTCCTCTAGGATTTTAATTCCAGAACGTGGCATCTGTTCTTCGCCTTTTGGTGCATCATTTATAATATTTTGTGACGCCTCTGCCAAAGGGTCAGGGCGTGCACAAGAAAATGCTGCTAATAGTGGTAAATAATTTAAATGTATAACTGCTGGAGTACCAGCCGAACTTTAGCGTCTACCACCACACACTTTTTTTATTTTCTCTTACCATTTTGAATTTATATTTACTTTAATTTACACAGAATTGCACAGATAAAACCACTGCTTGCACACAACACAAAAGTTCGAGACGGAAAGAATGTTAGTATCGTCTCAAATGCTGACTAACGTTAACTCTCACCCCTCCAACTCCCACTACAATGAGAGAAAGGGTAACCAATCTTGGCTCTCATTGGTTGAAATGATATACGTCACGAAAAAAGCCAAGCTTTAACCCTACTTACTCCCCCACTCCTGGCTCTCATTGGCTTAAACTAACCCACTATGGAGTGTAGAGAAGGAGGAACGTCTCTTATGGACGGTACGTTCAAAATGTGGTCTGAATTCTGTAAGGTATGAGATGTGGCGCTGATCGTATTATGGGATTGAGTCTGAAGTTAAACACTTACTATATCTCTGAAACTAGCTTCAGATTCTATAAACTAACGAAAACATAATATTATGTAGGTGTTGAAAAGAATTATACAGCGTAAAAAAATAATAAAAATAGTAAAAACAAAATCACGTAGAATACCTCCTGTAAATCAGCGCCACCTATTCTTCCATCGAAAATCCGATCACATTTTTTAACACGGAGACGTTTCTCCTTCTCTACACTCCATAGTGACGCAAAACTTTCGGCGACAACAGCGACACCTTGCCCACGATACTAAGTGGCGTCATCGATAGAGGCGACATCTTAAACCTTTCAACGACACAACTACTCTTAGATGATAGAGTCCTTCTTATAAGGCTACATGAAATAATTGTTTACTGCAATGACATGACATGAATGTCCTTTTAAGCAACTACAGCGACATCTCGCCTACTCTAAGAAGTGACGTCAAAGATTTTATCGACAGCAATGACAACTTAAACTCTCCAACAACTACGCTTACATGATAGAATCCTTCTCATAAAACTACATGAAATAATTGTTCACTGCTATGACGTGAGATGAATGTTTTTTTGTTTCATAAGTTGAAAATGTTATTCAGTTGTAATTGCAATTTTTGGATATCCCACACCACTAAAACACAATATTTTCTGTTTCAAATATATTTTATTCTATTAAACAATACATGTAAATACCACAATTACTTATATTTATATTATGTTACATTATGCATATTATGTCAAAAATACGGGTGTGAATTTTCCAGCATTATAAATGTTTCAAGCTCTTGACTTTTACGTTAAATAACAATTTTGAATTATTGACTTAACTCAGCTATTGCCGCAAGTAAAGCATCCAATTTCTCATTTTTTTTACAATACCAACAGCATTTATGGCGGCCATCAGCCACTGTATATTTTGTTCTGACTCACTCTGGAAAAATAATATATCAGAGTGCCCCCAGGGCAAAGTTTTAGTTGTATTGGGAATAACAAAGCGCTTATTATCATGTTGAGACAATGCTACTTTGTTGATTAGTACGGTACAAATATCGTGCAGGCAGCTACGAAACGTGTTCATTTTTCTAAATATTAGACCTCCTGTTCAACGATCTGTTTATAGTCATCTATTGACAGCTGTTTTTGAATAACTGATCTCTTCACACCGTTGGCTTTTTTTAGTTCATTACCAAGAGATTGTACGCAATAAGCTTTTGCCCCTGTACCATAGAAACTAATTATTGGGTCCTCCGGAAACTCACCTTTAAAATTGCCTTTGGGAACATTAAAATTATTTACATTTTTGTAATTACTTGTGTCGAATCTTTCATGGTTCTCTATTATAAAATCGTAAAAGTTATCTGTAATAGTTTTAATAATCAAAGAATCTGTGTCCGTGTATAACAAGGAGGCATTTTCACCAAATTTTTTTTTTAATTACATCATAGTAAAAGCTATACAGCACCGTTTTAGACAATTCCAAGATACAAAAACCAACGTAAATTGGTTTGTTATATACAACCTTTAGTTTACCCATATGAATAGCCACAAAATCTTCGGTAAATATTGAACATGTTTTAAAATTAGGGCGCGTTATTAAATTATTCGCGCCTTTACTACGTCTAATATTCTCCCAGTGAGTAACCAGCTTTATATCGGTTCTATTGTCTATATTCTCCATTGTCTTTCCAAAAACAGCATTGTTCATTAATTTATATTGGTCTTTTTCAAATTTATTTGTCGCTTTATTTCTCATATCCGTATTCAAGTCAATATATTTCTTTAGTCAAGCTGATTGGTTGAATTTAAGAACTCTATGTGTTTTTATAACCATCAAGCCGTTATTAATAGCTTGTTTCAGATTTATATAGTGTACAACATATCGTTTCTTATCATTTAAATTTGGTATTAATTTTGTTAATTTTGATTTTGATTCGGGTGGAACAATACTTTCTACTAGAAATGGGAGCTTCTGAATGCAAGTCGTGCAAATCTTCTGGATAATGTATGTCTACCCTTTGGGGCTTTCATCTGAAATATTCATAATATCTAATTGCATTATTTCCTCTTCGAATAGCCACTCAAATCCACTTGTTGGCAATAGTTGCGACATACTATGACCATATAGATTTGTCGCGTCGAGATATGTAATGAATGATGAAGGTTCGTTGGGGTCATAATTGGGTAAAAATTTATTATTTGCAATGTGCTTCCTCTCTGAACATTGGCTAAGTCCTCCGCGTATGCCTCAGGTTAGTTTTAACATGGCATCCCACGATAGACCTGGGGCTGTATAATATTGAGCTGGATCTAGTTTGTATTTAGCCAAACAAATTCTACGAAAATTTTCAAACACATCTCATAAAAGAAGTACGTCTGACTTCAAATAAAGGTCTGAATAGTCACCCAAATTCTGGCATCCAAACAAATTCCACACATCATTAGCTCTTTGGTAATCCCTGTCTGATATG